ACAATACCGCCTAACATTACTAATGTCATATTCATCTCGAGGCCGCAGTTAGAGCTCATGGATCTGATTACCGAGAATGTTCATGGGTAGGTATACAGCGAATATGTCACCAGATACATATGTGACATATTTTAATGTATCTAATGGCTCTCGCCTGTCTACAATAGCTGTCTACCTACAATAGCCGTAAGAGTATGCAGTAAGACTGAGTAAGGCATAAGCAGTAAGCTATTGACCAACTAGTTGATTATTCTTGAATTAAAAAAAATTCTCATTAGTTAATAGCTTACTGCTTACGTCTTACTGCATACTTTTGTGGCTATTGTAGATAAGCCATATATTCAATGATATTAACAAAGGGATCCAAAAGAAAGTCATGTGCAAATAATAAAGTCAAAATTGCGTATTGATACGGATATGAAACGATACTGCTACTTTTAAATTTTATTATAATCCTAACATATATATACATATATATATATATATATACATATATATAAATTGTATATTTTTAAAAATATTTAAAAATATATTTATTCATGTGTTTATACAGAGAAGAGGGCAAGAGGCCGCGTAAAGAGTTTCACTTGTTCTTTGTGCCACACAAGAGTCTACTTTGTCAAAAGAAGCTCCAGAATCGCGGTGTCTTTGGCAGCTTCACGCTGATAGAAGAATTTAAATGTGATCTTTTTCCGTTTGACAACGATCTGCTATCGATGGAAGTGAGCGGATCCTTCAAGGTGTTCCACTTGGAAAATGATCCCACTTGCCTGTATCAAATCGCGCAGGCCATACAAGGCTTGCAAAAATTGTACGGGAAAATCTCGAAAGTCACGGGAAGGGGACCAGCTGCCAGCAAGGTTTGGGAATTGCTGGAAAGGCTAAATAGAGAAGAGGAAGATAACAAATCACTCCCGGTCTCGGGCTCCGTTGCCATTGAACACTTATTATTACTGGATCGATCTATAGATTTACTCTCGCCTCTAGTTACGCAGTTGACATATGAAGGGTTAATCGATGAAATATACGGAATAAAGTACAGTAAGTATTGGCCTTATATATTTTCTATATTTTAAAATTGCAATTTTATAACATATACTTTTAATGTGTATACGATACGTGGCGTAGTGACAGAAGTATCTTTTTTATTTTAGATACTGTGCAATTACCTGCAAGAAAATTCCATGATTCTGACGATTCTCCCACATCAATGTCTCTAAACGATAAGGAACAAATCATATTAAATTCAGGAGAAGAACTTTTTGCTGAGATCAGGTACGTAACTACGTAAAATTCTTTCTGACAATTCTTTACGACATTTTACTCTTGCAGAGATAAAAATTTCAATGGTGTTGGCCCAGTTCTTAGTAAGAAAGCTAAAGTAATTTCATCACAGTTTGACGAGAGACACGGAGACAAGAGCGTTCAAGAAATTAAACAGTTTGTTGCGAGATTACCACATATGCAACAAAGCAATCTTTAGCGTAAGACGTAAGTAATAAATACATGTATACGGATTCATGTTCCGATTCTTTCGCGATATTTATTCTTTTTGGTCTTGTTTTAATAATTTATCGTAATTTCTCTTTAACTAGACATCACAATCGCCGAGATGATAAAAGAGGTAACCGACTCGAGCAACTTTTTGGAATCGTTGCAAGTCGAGCAAGAACTGTTAAACTGTATCGACACGGACAAGCCAAATGCGTACATCGAAGATATGATAGCGCAGCAACAACCGTTACTCAAAGTTCTACGTCTCCTTTGCATACAATCGTTGACAAACTCCGGTCTAAAACCAAAACTGCTAGATTACTATAAGAGAGAAATAATTCACACTTATGGATTCCAACATTTGCCAACTATATTAAATCTGGAAAAGGCTGGATTATTGAAGCAACAGCAGTCAGTGCGACAATACGCAGTTTTAAGAAAAGCATTGAGGCTCACTGTCGAGGACGAGAGTGAAATAGCACCGAAAGATATCAGTTACGTACATTCCATATATGCACCGCTGAGCGTGAGACTAGCGGAGCAACTGGTACAACTAAACGGATGGCAAGGATTGAACGACGTGATGGGATTATTACCAGGACCTACCATAAGCAGCGTCCCGTACAATGTATCCTCATCAGTAAGACGTAAGTTAAGACTAAATCTTGGTTTATTTATAGCTTGTTTAAAATTTATTTTATTTTCAACAAAAAATAAATATTTATTTCAGGAAATTCTATTACCAGCGAAGATTCTAGTTCGGAACCACCAAAATTAATACTAGTATTTTTTATCGGAGGATGCACTTTTGCCGAGATATCTGCTCTCCGGTTTCTATCGCAACAAGAAGATTGTAAGTGTTGTAATAGATTACGAAGTACTTAATTGTCTGCACAAATCAATGAACTGATAATCAAAAAACTGTAAATATATTTCTTCTCTATTTATTTTATATTCATCCAATTATATATATAACTCTTAAAAAATAAGATAATTTTTTAACATTTATAGATGTTAATTTATGTATTTTGTACATATATGCATATACATGAAAATACATTGCTGCAATAGGCGAATACATAATAAGAACTTTTCTATTTATATTACAAAATTCGTCGTGATACAATACGCGCGATTTAAGCATTTATTAGTATTATTAGTACAATACAATTTAAAAATTTATAGAGCTTTTGTCTCCAGATATTAATAAAATTACAAAAATCTTTATCTTTTTAATAAACAAAAAGATTTTCCAAGTTTATAATTTCATAATTGAATTGGTAAAGCGCGACCATCGACGACTTTATATATGCGCTTTTAAATGTTTTTTTTACGTTCTTAACGTATACATCTTTATAATTAAGTGCTTTTATGATTATATTCATGACTATATTCATGATTTTTAGAGAAGCAGCTATAATCTATGATGAAAAATTAGATCCTGTTATACGCAAAATAGGCAAATATTTTCATTTGTTTAGTATACGTCCACGACACTTCATTGTTTTCCTGTTGTGCGATTTCTCAGTAGTTTTTCTATTATTTATCAGATATTTTTTAATTTAGGATTTTCAAGATGGGAAAATCATTACATAAGTACAGGAAGTGGCGGTATTCGCCCACGAACGCCTCCAAACGATTTTCTTGCTTCTATCGATTTGCAGGACGCGTACCTGCTTCTATCAATCCATCAGGAGGAGAGAAAATTCTTACGTTTCCGTTTTCAGAGTCAACTTTTCCAATTAAAAGCCCTGCCTTTTGGACTTGCATCAGCGGCTTACATTTTTACAAAAATTGTTTATGCGGGGTCCTCTTTATTAATATATAATAATAAGAAAACAAAATAAAAGTCTAAAAATCTCTAAAATAAAAATTATGTAGAATGCAGGACAAATGCAGAAATAAATAACTGCGCAATATAATACTTATTTTATCATATAGCAGATTTATTTCTATATGTCCTTCTAGTTAATTTCTATGAAGTCATTATATTAGTTATTTATTTATCGAGTATTTATTTATCTCTCTCTCAAGGTTGCTTCAGTTACGAAATTATAAAAACATTTACCAGCACACACAGCAGAAACAAACAGAAACTTCAGGATAGGACAATCAAATAAGCATTTTATTCTATCCGTATTCCTTCTATTAATAAAGTAGAAAACAGAAGAGCATCAAATAGCATTTTATTCTATCCGTATTCCTTCTATTAATAAAGTAGAAAACAGAAGAGAGAATGGAAATGAAACCAAGAAAAGAGGATGAACTGACATTTTCTTATGATGTGGTCCGCCCACTATATAAAGACTCACAACCAAGTTGGGTATGTTTGATTTGATTAATCGTAGTTTTATTTTAAAGCTCAATATACTCACGCAGAATAGGTACCAATGCGTATCTGTGACTATATTTTCGTATTTTAAAAATATTTTTCTGAAGTATATACAGGAATAAAAATATTCCTCAATTATATTAGAATGTTATTAAAATAATGTACATTATAAATAATTTTCGCGACAATGAAAAGGAACTAATTGAAAAGGGAGAGAAATTATCAAAACCAAAGGAACAATTGAAGCTCTCATATGATGAAATCCAATCGGCATTGTCACTAATGAGAATAAGAGACAAGACCATTCAGATGACACCATGTGACGAGGTAATAAATACCATAGATCTCCTTTATATGATGTAACTATTTTACTTTCGCACTTTTATCAGCGCATATTTAACAAATATGTAAAAAGCAGACGACCCACAGTCTACAAATACTTCAATATCAAATTCTTGTAACTCTAAAAATCTCAACATCTGTAGATCTTGTAAAAATGTGTTTTTTTTTCTTCGCAATATTATAATTATAAATATATATCTTTGATTAACACACTGTAAAACAAAATATTCGTGAATTAAGACTAGTCTAAATCCGATCTTTAAATGAATGTAATATGATTGCAGAGTCAACTTCTTTGCGACAAAGGTTTTAAAATTTTTCTGAAGAAAGAATTACACCAGATAATGGGCAGCGTCAAAGCACGCGGCGCAGTTTATTCTCTACTACGGTTATCGAACAAGCAATGCAAGGGCGTGATAACAACTTCAACGGGCAGTTTCGCACATACCCTCTGCCATTTTGGAAAGGAGTTTGGAATACCGGTAAATGTTATGATACCAGTATCAGAAGCCGTTGCAGAAAAAATCGATGCGTGTCTACATCTCGGAGCATCTGTGTCCCTCGCCAGTTATGATATTGTAGAAGCACATAAGGAAGCTTTGAAGAAGGCCCAGGATAAAGGCTTAGTTTACATTGACGGGTACTCCTTTTTTATCAATTAATTAGGTTGAAACTAGGGTAGAAAAAATATTTTAAAAGAAACTTTTTATCATTATACCGTTACTCAATATCTAAGAAGTAATTAGAGGATACCGGGGCTCGTTGGCACAGTTTTCACAATTTTAGCATTTGATTTTTTATTATTACAATAAATTACTGTTGTTACTCAAAAAAGCATGTCGTATAGCAATAGAAACTTTCTTTTCAATTAATAATACATCACTTTAATTTACTTCTCAAGCTGAAGAACATTAATACAATATTTTGAGACGCTCGAAAATTTACTTGCCACCTCTTGAATCAGAGTTTTCTCTTTTTTTTTTTATTGTAATACTTGTTTGGTTTAAGTAAAACTTTGGGAAAAGTATTTATATCATAAAAGAGATATTTTGTAATAACATTTCTATTGTTTCTTTCGCCATAAATATATAGACGGAACGCAATGCCAACTTGCCTTTTGTGTCAAGATCTCCCCTACTTTCTTTGTTACACTTTTCTTAATATTGATATAAAATGCTGATATTATATATAAATTTTAGTGGTATAAATAGAATCATAAATAGAATATATCATGGAATCCTCGGGTAAAGGGACAATACTCGCAACTCGTGCGTTCGCGTAAAAGAGTCACGGTCGTTCTCGTTCCGCGTATACTTGGCATGAGACACTACCGTGTTTCTTGATAAGATACGGAATTTGATATAAAATATATATATATATATATATATATATATATATATATATATACATTTTACAGATAAATACATATATATATATTAATAATCTATGTATGTATAATTATACATGCCCTATATACATATTTTATGTATTATTATAAAGAAAGACATAAAAACAAGTTGTTCAAAATATAAACAAAATTAATCTTAAAGCTTTTATAAGAAGTAACAACTTTGTTTTATTTAGTTACATAATTAAGACATCGATTTTTAGCAACATCGAGACAAGTTCTTACATTAGTCATTATTTATAATTTCACTGTCTATCAGAGAACGTGTAAATTATGCAAATAATTTGAAAAAGTAACGTTAAAAAGTATCTTTCTAAATTTTTATTTTTATAGAATAATTAAACAACTGCATTATGTTACGAGAAAAACTTGCCGTTAATAATTTGTTACTAAAGAGTGGTAACTGTAGCCACAACGGCGTTAGAAAATAATGTGTTACTTCTTCTTTTTGGTTAAAATACATTCTCGTTAAAAGATAATATTCTCATTAATTGTTTCTATATTTAATTAAAGAAGGTTGGATAAGAAGCCTAAACAGTGTAACGTAAGTTATACGTATAATTTTACGTTTTTTTGGTGAATATGATGGTAGCATTTATCCGTCTAAATCCGTGAAAAAGTAAACAAAATCGTCACTAATT